CATCGCCATGGAGGGCCTGTGGGCAGCGCACAGGCACCGAGCGGCCTGGGTCCCGGGGACGCCACTGGAGTGTCCAGTCCTGTCAGCCCTGCCTGGCAGCAGCTTAAGTTCCCAGTCCTTTTCATTCTGCAGTCCCTGGACCGGAAATGAAAACCAAAAGCACGGGGAGCACCAGGAATTCTGGGAATCATAGTTCTAGTGGCAGCCCCTAGGCCGGAAGCAGAAGCCCAGAGTGCGGGGAGCACCAGGAATGCTGGGAATCGTAGTTCTGGTGGCAGATGCATTGTGGGATCTCCTAGATACTAGAGCAAAATGAGCCTGGAGCAAGTTACTGTTGCAGGTGTGGGATGGAGGGGCAGCAAATGTAAGAGACATAAGTAAAGTCAGAGTGTCAAGGAAAAATTAAAGGGAAGATACCCTGCAACTTCTAGGAAATCTCCACCAATGGAGCAAAAACAAAACAAAAAAAGACCTCTACTATTCTTTGAGCACAAAACCAAACTAGGTTGGGGTCTCAGACAGTTCGCTCATATGATTGCAAAGACAGACAGAAACTCCCAGATTGGAGAGGGCTCCCCTGAGGGCTCCCAGATTGGAGAAGGTGCAGGTCGGGGTGAGGGACCCACCCCCTATGCACGAATCTTTGTGCACCGGGTCCCTAGTGATGTTATAAATAGCCAAATGGCCCTTGGCTGAAAAAAGGTTTCCCATCCCTGCTTTAGGGTTTTCATATAATGCAGTCCCTTGCCTTCCTTCTTTCTTTCACCCAGGGCATCTTCAGAAGTAACTTGGTTTCCTAATACTGAGCCTATACATCTTCTGACCAAGGAAAGTATCAATGTTAGTAAGAAACCGAGTAGAGATATTTAGCTACCAGTTAAGTAAAGATTCCAAATTAACCCTTATCTAAAGTCATTCTGGGAGTCTCTCCTTTCAGTGGACCCTGACATAGGAAAAAAATCACTCAAAAAAAGTTTTAGTGTGATGTCATTAACCCAGAGAATCAGACTAATAAGAGCTACAATTCAAATTTGCCAAGAGAAGCAAAAAATTTAACACTGTATGTTTAAAATATATAAGTAATACTATATTAATGAAATATTCGTCTTCTATATTTGATAATTTTCAGTCAAACAGAATTTCATCAGATTTTTCTTCTAGCTTTAGGTCAAAATCCAATCTCATATATTACTAGAGGTCCGGTGCACGGATTCGTGCACCTGTGGGGGGATCTCAGCCTGGCCTGCATCCTCTTGTAATCCAGGACCCCTCAGGGGATGTTGGACTGCTGGTTTTGGTCCGATCCCCGCAGGCCAGGCCGAGGGACCCCACCAGGCCTCTAGTATGCATATAAGATCTTCGGTTAATCTCTCCCTGCCCTTCCCCCTTCTCTCTGAGATTCATCAGTCTGTTCCATGTTTCCATACCTGTACGTTGAACATCTACCCCCAGTCGTCAGCCTAACAGAATCAACCACTGTTACATAGTTTTCAATACTGAACAGTTATAGCCCCAAAATACATTCCTATCCCAGCATGTAGGATATTACATATTTTAGCCATCAGTATCCATAGATATTTTTCTTTCCAATTTAATCACTAAATATGATTAAATTGGTTTTATAAATGCTATCAGTTTTATAAAGTAACACCTAACATATTCTTCAACTACTTCTTGGCACATTTGAAAAACAAAAGTATTATTAATCTTATTATGCATTTCTCTCTTCTTCTAAGAGTGTGAAACAGCCATATTAAGCTTAGAATATTAATTTCTCACTTAAAAGTTTTATTTTATTCTGATTAAATTTGGAAAATAAAGTTATACCATTTCATACCTAATTTTTTGAAAACTTAAAAAACAAAAAAGCCCAAACTGATCACTTAACTGCTCTGCTAATGTTAGTAATATAATATTGCAGGGATCTCAGTGCTTGGCACAACTTCAATGTTCAAAGAGTAATATGGTTTGACCTTTAGTCAGAATCAAATCCAAAAGTACAAATTAATGATAATTTTTTAAATCAACAAATGTTTTACTGACTTATATTTCATAATTTTATTTACATTTTTCCCCATCATCATTTACCCCTCTATGCCCTTTTCCAATTCCCCCCTCCACAATCACCATACTGCGGTTCATGTCCTTAAGTTCTGTTTAATTTTTATTTTTCACTCACTTTACCCCTACCAAACCACCAGAGTTGTGCTCTCTATGAGTCTGTCTACATTTTGTGTGGTAGTTCACTTTCTTCATTAAATTACAACACGAGAGAAATCATATGGTACTTGTCTCTCTCTCTGACTGGCTTATTTCACTTCTCCAGGTCCATCCATTCTATTCTAAAGGGTAAAATTTTCTTCCTTTTTATAGCAGAGTAGTATTCCATTGTGTAAATGTATCACAGCATTTTTATACACTCATCTATTGAAGGACACTTGGCCTGCTTCCAAATCTTGACTATTATAAATAATGATGCAATTAACATAGGGGTACATATATTCTTTCGAATTAGTGTTTCAAGTTTACGCAGATAAGTTCCTAGAAGTAGAAACACCGAGTCATAGGGTAGTCCCATTTTTAACTTTTTGAGGTAACTCCATACTGCTATCCACAGTAGCTGCACCAATCTGCATTCCCACCAGCAGTGCATGAGGGGTCCCTTTTCACCACTATTACAGTTTGATAACATTATTTGATAACAGCCATTTAGACAGGTGTGAGGTGATATTTCTTTGTGGTTTTAACTAGCATTTCACTGATGATTAGTGATGTTGGGCATCTTTTCACATGTCTATTGGCCATCTATCTGTATGTTCTCTTTGGAGAAGTGTCTATTCAGGACTTCTGCCCATTTTTTAAATTGGATTGTTTGGGGGTTTTGGGTGTTAAGTTTTACCAGTTATTTATATATTTTAGAGATTAACCCCTTATCAGATGTATCACTGATGAATATGTTCTCCCATTCAGTGGGTTGTCTTTTCATTTGGCTGATGTTTTCCTTTGCTGTGCAAAAACTCTTTAGTTTAATGTAGTCCCATTTGTTTATTTTCTCTTTTATTTCCCTTGCCAAAAAATATATGTCAGAAAAATTATTAGTACATGAGATGTTGGATATTTTAGTGCTGATGTTTTCTTCTAGAATATTTACAGTCTTGCTACTAACATTTAAGTATTTAATCCATTGTGAGATTATTCTTGTGTGTAGTGTAAGAAGGTTGTCTAGTTTCATTTTTTGGATGATGATTTGGGGAATTCAAATAGTCACTGTAGGATGGAGTTTTTTCCAAAATGATGGATTAACTGGAAGCTACACTGATACTATCTCAGGACCAAACTGGAATTACAGCTAAAATATAGAAAACAAACCAGAATAATAAACAATTTTCATATTATTTCACCTACTATTTTCAAATAGAAAGTCAGTATCACGGTTTATTACCTTTGGCAACTCCCATTCCGACCTAGATCCATCAGCACTGTAGTAATATTGTCTACCTTGATCATCAACATGCTTGAGCCACTATAAAAACAGAACAGGTGTTATTTTTTTAATTTAAATAAAAGTGAGTTTAGGTTTATACAATCAGAGATATTAGTTATTATTCCTATGAATTGTATTCTACCTGCTTTAGAAAACTTCAAAAGAAATTTTTAACAATCTTATGCTATTAGTTACATTTTAAGTTTGGTAAGATTAAATAAACTCAATATTAAATTAAGTTTATTTTCTCTCTCTTTCCTCCAAAGTAAAGCTAGGGGTTCAAGTACCACTAAACAATGTAAGAAATATATAACATAAAGATATATATACACACACACATATATATATGCACTGAACACAGGGCGACACCCACCCTTAAAAACAGGGTTGAAAAATTAATAAAAAGATTTTTTTCTTCAATCTTTAAGTATAAAACTACTAAAAAATTTGAGCCAAACTTCATGTAGGTAACACATCTTACTTACTATGATTAAATAATAATAGAAAAATATTTCATACAATATAACACAGAGAATATGAGGGGGAACAGACTAAGTACTGCTAATACAAATATATTATCTTGACTGTAATATATACAAATATTACTGATTCCTTATGCTCTAGTGTCAATTAAAGCAGAAATGAGAAATAAAAGCCTACCTCCATTCATTCCCAAGGGCATGTTCTCTAAACCAGCCCAACTAAACAGTTACCTTCTCTGATGATAAGAAATGTAGTATACACATAAAATTTCAATATGCATTCTCCCAAACTAGTTAATTATTCATAAAATACTAGATTCATGGATTTTGTTTTACATAACTTGGTTATGAAAGAAAAATGAGTGTAGGAAGTGAGGCAGTATATCATAACAACATACTAAGAAAACTATTCCCAAAATCTATTCTCCATGAAAAATAGTCAGCCCTTTGAATCCGCAGATTTCCCATCTGCATATTTAACCAACTGCAGATTGAAAATAAACCCCCCAGCCCCAATTCCCAGAAAGTTCCAAGGAGCAAAATTTGGATTTTCCAATGTGTCAAGCACTACACTGAATCCACATGAGGTGATGTGTAGGCAGGTCCAGCTTTAGCCCATGTACAAACATAGGTTATTTGCAAACACTATGCCATTTTATATAACACCAGTATTTGAGCATCCTCAGATTATGGTTATCTGTGGGGAAGAGGAGGGTTCTGGACCAATCCCGCAAGGATACCAAGGACAAGTATATAAAGAAGTATTTTTATTAAACAAGTCTAAACAGAATGACACTTAACAGGCCTACTCTTAAAAAGGTCTGTTCTAAGTGGGTTCTGACACCATAAAAATAATCAATGTAATTATAAGCAGTTTAAAACCCGAGTCAGTAGTTATATTGAGTTTTCATGTCAACTTACATAACTACAGAATTACAATGAAGAATATTTTCATGAGTTTTTTAAATACTACTAAACTTTTAGTACACAATGACTTTATGAGAGGATTCAACCAAGAAAACTAGATGACAAAAAAGAATGTACCTTTTCATTAGTATAGTCACTGGTATATAAGGTATGCCCACGTTCATCCAACTCTTCTGACCAACCCCTTGGAGGAGAACCACACTGACTATCTGACTGGCTGTAACAAATGTTGTGGCAGTTTTCTTCTGATGAAAGAAGCTATAAATAGTCAGAAACATAAGGAATTTTCTTCTTTGAATAATATAAGTATGCAGCAGTTGAAAATCTAAGAAATAAATTTTATTTGACTTTAAGTACTAAGATATCCTAAATATATTTGAAGAATTAATTTTTAAAACAAATTTTTCACCCTTTTAAATGGTACACTGTACGTGCTGAGGTGAAATTAATAATAGTCATTCTATAACATCAATGCAAATCTAGAAAAGTTCACCATAATAAAATTATAAACAAAAGTTTTCACTCATCAGCAAACAAGGACTATCATGGAAAAGCAGAATATCACCAGTACCTGAGCCCCATCACCCCCCTCCAGTGACTTACTCTACCTAAACTTAATTTAGGACGTCAAAGGACAGATTCCCTTGGTCTCTCCCCTTAATGTTTCCACAATTTCAATAATTATAACTCAACAAAGAAGTCCCTGGCTCAACGCACAAGCATGCCTGAGAGATCCACTCATTGAAACATCTAAAGGTGGGCAAGTGAGAGCAAAAGAGGGAGGCAAGAAGGCAGGAGAGCTGAGATGAGCCACCAACACAGCCCTGCATCAGAGAGCTCAGGGCGGGGCTCAGCCTGGAGAGGGGAGGAATCCGGTTCTGGTTGACAATCCCTTCAGCCAGGAAGAGCAAAGAGATCTGATGGGCATT